TTCATCTAACTAGCAAGGGCTATCAAGAATGAGTGTGCTGTATTAAACTGAATGTGGGTTCCTGAGGAAAGCCTAGCATGAGGCACACAGGGAGTGTACCTGGAGTCTAACTCTAAAAAAGTAAAGATGCATACAGAGAATAGCATGCGTCTGTTAGTGCTAGTCACACTATAAAAAGATTGGTTTCTTTGTTAGGGCTTTATTCATTCCATTTTTACACATAACTGTAGGATTTGGAATAACTTAATGAAATCTATCATTAAAACACAGAAATGGGATATTTTTATTATTTTTGATATACCACAGTCATTTAAGGTCTATATTCCATAATACTTCACACTCTACCAGTGTTTGAATTTGCAAGTTTTACTATTATAATGCACAAAGAGAAAAATATTATCAAAAAATAAGAAAGACCTAGGCAAGCTGAACCCATGGCCCTGCAAATGCTCTACCACTGATCAACGCTCTCAGTCCTGGAAATATGTGCTTAAGATCGAACCCAACATCTTGTACTCTACCACGGAGCTACATCCCCAGATGAAGTATGACTTTGAAGAAAGACATTTGCTTCCTCATTTTACTCTCTGAATACAACAAAAAGCTAAGACAATTAACCAGCAATCAGGTGATATACCATTAATTGTGTTTTCACTAGACAGGATCCCACTGTCCATTAATTTGAATTTACTTGGCTCTCTATGTTATCTATGTGGCACAGCACTCACAGCATCTATGAATCCCTAAGTACTTACTGTTTAGTATGACAAAACACTAATGTCTATTTTTAAAGTCTTTTTTAAAAATTTACCTCTGTGTGTAAAGTATACGGGTGTTTTCCCTGCATGTGTGTTCATGTCCACATGCGCTCCTGGTGCCTGTGGAAGCAAGAAGAGGGTGTTGCATCCCCTGGAACTGGACTATAGCCTGTTAAAAGCTGCCATGTGGTGCCAGGAGTTGAAACCAAGTCCTCTGGAAGGGCAGCCAGTGCGCTTCCCTTCTTAGGTCTACTTCAGTTTTTCATTAAACATGCTTAGTGTGTTTCACTGGAAATGCTCGTTTGCACACAAACAATGAGGTATAGAGGATAAGACCCTATCCTCAAGTTCATTTACCTTTCCCTACAATCTGTCAGAAAACGGAGCGCAACAATAAACATAGAGACTCGTACCTTTTTGTGATACTCAGTGGAAGCAAAAAGTGACTTTTTAAAACCTTCAGTTGTTAACTCTTTACCTTTATAAATGATAAAGTGTTAGAATCTGATCTTACCAATTTGGCAAATATAAGCTATGTTACAAATTGATAGTTCTGTAAATTCCTTTGATGGTAATAGTGGGAATTTGTGTGTCTCAAAAAGAAAATTAATATTCACAAAGTATAAAGCTTCCTATCATCAATAACACTAACATCTGACCAGGCTGTCCTTTTTTAATCATATGAGCTTGGCAAATTCTGATTCTGCACTCATAAAATGATGCATCTTACTCTGCTTATTAGCCCCTGTGAGAACCCAATCAGATAATACGTTTAGAAGCAATCAGAAAACTATGCCTAACACCAAAGCAATACCATCTTAGTCACCTGCAAGAGGAAATTACCAATCTACAAAAACCACACATTCTAACCTACTCCCACAACAGTCACATAATTACTATTGCATTCTTATACTGCCCATTTTTAATTATTTAAATTGTGACTCTATTCATCAGAAGCCTATAAAATGGCGAGTAAGGATGAACTAGTAAAATGATAACTGACAAAGCATGTAAAGAATGGGTCATTTAAAAATGTCTGTGAGCCTGTCTGCCCCAAACTCCAGCATTCCTGACGGCCCTCTGAAATCCCCATCTTCTCTGCTTTTCAGATGCTTTAATAAAGACACTGTTTCTCAGTGTTTAATTAAGAAATGGGCATCTTTTTCTCCACAATTTTGGGTCTTGTGACACTCTAGTAACTATTATTTATTACAATGTGGCTCTACACAATGCTCTGTAGTGCTTTTTCCATGAATGAGACACAATTTCTACATACTGACCAGGCTGCAGGAAGCAGCGGTATATATAGTTCTGAAGGAGCAAAGAATTCCTCTTTTGTGTTATAATTCTTGGTAGTCAGGTTTTTTTGCTATGCAAAGCAGGTTCTTAACTGCCACTGAACAAGCTATGTGATCTCATGCTGACCCATGACGCAATTTCCATTTGTACAACATTAAGAGTTAAATCTCCCAAGATTTTTAGTTCAAATTGAAAACAATCCCATTAGGTAACAAATCAACTAAGAGACTAATGCCACCTCAGCTGCACTTTTCAAATATTTACTACTTCTTGGTCATGCCCCCAGTTCCCTAAAGGGTAGCCAGTTACTGTTACCACAGAATTTGTTTTAATAGTGCAGCTTTAAACAATTTTTTCCCAATCAGGCTATCTAGCTACACATCTGGGTAACTGTAGATTTTAGAGTCACTGAATCCTAAAATGGACCTGAATCAAGTAATAGTAAGACATAAGCAAGAAAATGTAACTATTTAAGAAACCGTTCCAATCTCGTACCAGTTTACCTGTGATTGAAAGCAATCACTGGAGTTTAAGCTGAATTCCTGCCACATCTAACCTTAGAATATTGGAGGGGGGACATAATAAAACAAAACAAAATCCAAATGATGAAAACTCAACCTGAGGGTCCTGAACTAAGAGACCACCAGGGAAGGGGAGTCACAGTGGGAAGGTGGTAGTACAGAAATGAGCAGACAGAGGGTTTTTCTTTCCTAATAAAATTTCAGATGGCTGGCTAATTAAAATAATGCAAGAACTGGTTCTTCCTCCCATGATGAATATCCTGGAGTCTGAACTCAGGTCATCAGGCTGAACTTTTTCACCAGCCCTAACACAATGTTTGAAAACAAAAATCCACTAGTGAGCAATGCACTCAACTGGTACCCATATGGGTGTGTGGAGTGATGCACATATATTCAAGCAGTTTCTGAGGTTGCTAAGTATTTTAATCTTATGACATCCCGGCTCTGCCTGAAATGAGTGTGGGTATCTTCGCTTGCCTCCACTCTCCACATGATCATCCACTTTAGCTATGCAGTCTGAAAACTTATTAAGCAGTACCGTTCTAAGTATCAATGCTTAAGGAAATATGCTGTCTCATGAATGAGATGAGTTAGGATGACTTAGGAATTCAGAAGCCCACTGATAGTTTGGTTTTAACCATCAGTGTAGGCTCACTGGGGTTAGAATTTTTGCAGGATCTTCAACACACAAATAAAACCATTCTGGTTTACGATTTGGCCTTTGGAATCTTTTACTATATGATCATAGCTTGTCAGGGACAAAGATCATGCATGCAGTGCAGTACTGCCCAGTTAACAGCAGGCTGAGTGGCCCTTCTTTGCTCTGGGATGTCAAGTTTCAGGATATCAGTGGTAATTCAATCACAAGGTTTGTTTATTTATTTATTTAATTTATTGCAATGACCACTGGTATTTTATATAATCACTGACCTGTTACAGAAGTAAGGGAACAAAAACAACCCCCTTAAAGTGAAGAGGGAAAGCTTGGGGGAATATTCTAGATGTGAAATCCAACTGCAAAACACTTTGAATGCTTATTTCCTTTAAAGGTTACCCACTTTTCAGAGCTGAAGGTGGAGCTCAATTGAGTGTTTGATCCCCAGAACCTCATAAACTGGCACTCAGAAGGTGGAGGCAGGAGACATTCAAGGTCCTCAGCTACAAAACAAGTTCAAGGCCAGCCTGAGACATAAGGTCTCCAAAAATAAGAGATTTAAATGTTTTTAAAAGTTACCTACCTTTACCCTTTTGCATCCAAGGCACTTAGGTTTGGGCAGTATGCAATGTACTGACACCCACTACTTATTGTGAGAAGTCACTTTTGAAAATGTTGTCTAGGTTACTCTGACTTGGAATATAAAGCATCTTGCATGTCAGAATTTCTGGTGTAGGCTGAAGCTAATGGCAGAAGGAATATTATAATTCTATATCCTAGAATCACCAAAGTACGAAAATCAAAATTACTTCAAGTCCAATACATTTTAAAAAATGGCATCTCCAAAAAATTGTAACAGAACTTCTCAACTGTCACATTATTTTGTGAAGGTTTCAGTTAACAGCCAGTTAAGACTTGCAAAAATTTACATTTTATTATGTCTCCAAGTTTTAAATTAACACATAAATCCTACATTTGTTGATATACAGCCAACCCACATTCACCAAAAACTAAAATGGCACGAAACAGCATTAATGATTACAAGAAAGTAATCTGCAGAGAAATAATAAAGCAAACCCCAATCCAAGTAAATGAAGTATCTCTTACCCCTTTGGTAACTTCTACAGCTCTACAATGTAGTTTACTTATTTTTTTGTACACAAAATAATGATGCTTCCAGTTACCACAAAGTACCTCAAATGCAAAGAGGGAGGGAAGGATCGTTAATCATTCAGGGTCTTCCAAATACAAGTAACAGGAAATCCAATCTACTCACATCACTAGCATAATGGTCAAATTTGGTGGAAATCAAGAAGTGGTGCCATAGCCATGCCCTTATCAACTAGGGTAAAGGATGGTGAACAGGTCAAAAGTAAGTAAAAAGAATTGGTTAGAAGGCAGATGCATTCAAGAATTAACTCAATTCTAGCTAATCCGTTTTCCAATATTCGAATTAAGGAAAACAGTTTCCTTCATCCCCTGTATTCATTATTTCCTTTACACTATAAACGAATTCTACTTTACACTTCGAAGCCAGTGACATAAAACATTTACCCCCAAGAGGAACCCACAGAAACGTCTCTAAGCCTACGGGTCTCAAAAGAAAAAAAAATGAATTAAACATGCGTCTTCACCTCGCCTTACACTTTTCTCAGTTACATCCCGAGGGTGTGAAAATATCAACATCCGGTCTCCCACCCCCACCCTCTCAGTGGTGCCTCGAGCGGACTGCGTCCACCCTCTCTCCATCCTTTTCAGTATCATCACCTTGGCGGAGCGTATCGAGCATTTCTTTCCGTTGCTCCCCCGCCCCTTTTCATGGCCGAGTGCAGCATTCTCTCTCTGCACCCTTCTCCCAGGAAAGGGACGAGCAAAAAGGAAAGCAGCACGCTTGCAGAGGAGAGGCAGAGAGGCCTGACAACCGCGTAGCCGTTAAAAACAACCGGATGGCTGCCCATCGGCCTCTGGCTGGATGGCAGTCGGGTCTCTCGGTACCGAATTCCGCCCCCCCCGATCTTCACGCTCCCACCCTCGCCACGCTACCGATGCCGAGACCGGTAAAAGGCAGAGCCGAGGGAGCGCGAGGCACGGTCATCCCTAACGGAGTCCCCGGGGAGGATCGTGGAACGGGCCCCGCCCGGACCCCCGCACTGCAGCGGCGCCCGGGCGGACCCCACGCCCGCCTCACCCGCACAACGCCGCACACAAAAGCGCCCGGGCCGCCGCCTTCCCGCCCCCACAGCCCCGCAGAGCAATCAAAAGGGACGGCCGGCCCCGGCGCGGCTCACCATCGCTGCGCTTGATTTCCACGTAAATCCCGATCTGGATCTTGCCGAAGTTGGCCGTTGCCATCACCTCATCCGGAGCGGCGGCGGCGGCGGCGGCGGGCGGGCGGAACAGGCGGGGAGGGGGCGGGATGGCGGCGGGAGGGGCAGCGGTGGCCCGCGGCCGCGCCGGCCCGGGAGGCAGCGTGAACAGGAGCGGGGCCGCGGCGAGCGGCGGCGGACGAGCGGGCGGAGGCCCCGGGCCTGCGGGCGGGAAGGCGGGCGAGCGGGCGGGCGCGCACGCCGGGCGTCGGGTTGAAGCGAGGGCCGCAGCCGTGAGGCGGCGCGGGGGAGAGTGGGAGGGCTCGCGCCGCCCGCCCGGACCGACGCTGGGGAGGCGGGGCGCCGCGCGCCTGCGCACTCACGGCCGCCCGCGTCTTCCTGCCCGGCGCCCGCGCGCTCGGGCTGCAGGCGGCCCCGCCCAGCTCCGCTGCGGCCTGGAGTCAGCCGGTTCTAAACCCCCTCCCCGTGCCGGGGCCCGCGCCGCGTCGGGTTCAGAGCGCGGCCACGGGGGCGCGGGAAGCCTACTCGCCATGCCTCCCAGCGCGGCTTCGCCTTGACGCTGAAGCCGGAATGGGTTGAGGGCCACGTGTTGTCGAGGCTTTTTGGGGCGCGGCGCTGAAGGGACCGGCGGATAGAATGACCCACGGTGTATTTCTGGGGGTGTCAGAACCGAGTGCCACTCCGGGGTGGCCGGCCCAAGTAACCTTCCTAAGGCCAAGGCATTCCTGGTTCAAGCTTCCCGGCCAGTTACGGAGGAAAGAAAAGGTGTCCTCAACCCGAAGTGGGAATGAAGACCTTCCTCCTTTGCCCCTTATCTCCCAGTTGATTGTCATTCAAAGGGAAGCCCCGCTGTGTAGCCCTCTAACTTGTGCTTAAGATCCAGTGGGCCTGTCCTGGTAGCCTATTGCTGCTGTAGCATCAAGATTTATTTGCCCTGGTCTATAATGCCAACAGCTCTGATTCAAAACCAGAGCAGGGACTCGAATACGGTTGAATAATGAGTGTTTTCTGCAGTCATCTGACTGGGCTGACTGCATCAGCAACATGGAGAGTGCCAACACCTGCGTCTGCCAAGAAGAGGGACAAGTGGACAAGAGACCATTGGAAAATTTTCAAGACCATTACAAAAAGAACAAACCTGAGACTAACTAGTATTGAGACTTCACGTGGAAGGAGTACATTTCCATGATCTACTTTCCCTGGCTGTTGTTAAACTGCCTATAATGATTAAAAATGCATACTTAAGATTCAGAATTTGGAAGCTGGATATATGTGTGTAAATGCATTTTTTTGTGTGTGTCTATAGTTTCCAACTCAACACAAGAAGCAGTTAGTTCAAGTAACTCCTTAAAAAGATGGTCTCTGATCCTTTTAAAACCATGCCAAAAAAAAAAAAAAAAAGAAAGAAAGAAAAAGAAAAAAAAGTAAACAATGTAGAAAAGACTTCTGCTTTTCTGTTCCAGAAATGACATCATAGGTCAGGACTTCTGTTTCAAAACAAGGTTGGACCAATTGAAAGTTCTGCTTCTGTCTTGTTTTTGCTTCTCTGTGGTAGTAGTAGTATTATACAACTCTGGGCTGCTGGATAGTAGGGCTCATTCTCTTATGTTTCTGTGCGAAGGTATAAAGTACCTAGCTATTTGCTTGTAAATTCTTTCAGGAAGGCAAAGAAATCCAATGATACAGCTGCTAAATTTAAAGTTGCTTCATAAGATACTGTCTTATTATGACTGCTGACACATACTTTGCATCCTGTTGGTTATGTAATCAAGTCTTAACCTTTAATCCATATTACAAAGGTGTTCTAAAAATATATACATCATCTTGTTTCATAAAAAACGCCCGAGACACTTGACTAACCAAACACAAAGATCTTTCTGGATAAATCATACCCAACAGGCTGGTTTGGGGTATGATTGGTCTAACATATGTATTTAACCAAGATTTCCATCAGGAGCTTTGTGTCCACATGTCTTTCAGAAGAGTAGCTAATAAAATATGTATCAATATATGTTTCTATCACATCCTGGAGAAAGGATTGTGCTTCAACCACTGTCAAAACCACTATGACCCTAACAAGAACTACTAAACAACTAATAACAAATCTTTAAGATACATAATGCTGTAAGACTCTTGCCTGGAATGTTGACGCACGCCTTTAAACCCAGCACTTGGGAAGCAGTAGATAGTCCTCTATAAGGCTAGCCTGGTCTACATAGTGAGACCCTGACTCAAAAGCAAAACAAAAGTAAATAAGCTAATAAAAACTACTCTTCTTGTCAGGATTATATAGTAAACACCCCAGCATTTGTTCCACGAGTCAGTGTCCTCAACTGGTTGGTAACCAGTTGGTCAACCTGGAAAAATAGCTTCCATTTGGCCAAGCATAGAAAGTTTTTATGAGTGTAAGTGAAGTAAAGTGGGATAATGCATTGATATTTAAATATAATACAAAACCTTAAAAGGTAACGCCATTCTATTTTTTTAATACTCAGGTTTTTCTCAAATCACTGACTAGAATTTTATGTCTAGTAATACAAAATGACTAGTTGACACTGGTCCTACTATTTCAGGATAAGAGGATAATACCAGCTATGTAAATCTGTGTACACTCAGTATACTGTTTCCAAAAAAAGTATACTGATTTCGGGGGCTGGAAAGATGGCTCAGCAGTTAAGACCATTGCTTGATCTTCCAGAGGACCCAGGTTCAATCTCCAACACCCACATGGCAGCTCACAACTGTCTGTAGTTATCTGACACCCTCACACAGATATACATGACGGTAAAACATCAAAACAACAATGCACATAAAATAAAATTAAATAGCCGGGTGGTGGTGGTGCACACCTTTAATGCCAGCACTCAGGAGCCAGAGACAGGTGGATTTCTGTGAGTTCGAGACCAGCCTGGTCTACAAGAGCTAGTTCCAGGACAGCCTCCAAAGCCAGAGAGAAACCCTGTCTCGAAAAAACAAAACAAAAAGTAAATAAATCATTTTAAAAATTATACTAATTGTAATACAACCAAGCCAATTACCTTAATCTTCAAAGATAGAAAATAATCTATCAGTGTTTTTTGTAAATAAACTTTAGGATTCACCCAAGGAAAAAGGTTGCTAAACTAATAAGTGAAGTTTCCAGTCAAAGATGACACTTTAACCAGTTACCTACTTGTGATGGTTTGAGTGAAAATGGCCCTTATGGGCTCACATATTTGAATGTTTGGTCGCTAGTTGGTAGAACTGTTTATTCAGAAGGAACAGGTCGTTGGCCTTGTTGGAGGAGATATGCTACTAGGAGACAGGTTTTGAGGTTTCAAAAGCCCATGCCATTCCAAGTCTCTCACTTTCTCTCATATTGGGAACTGTAAGCAAGCCCCCAATTATATGCTATCTTTTATGAGTTGCCTTGATCATGATGTATCTTCACAGCAACAGAACAGTGACTACTAAGGCGCTACTTCTTTATGAAGGCACAAACAGATCATGTATCTTTAGTTCTAGCCCAGTGTGTGTGTGTGTGTGTGTGTGTGTGTGTGTGTGTGTATTTACCCTGTGATTTGAAACTTTTCCATTTGGTTTTCTATCTATTCTGAGTAACTTTGACAAAGCTTCTAGACTCAGGATAAAGTGGAGAAAGTTCAGTAGATAGGGCTGGCAGAAACTTTGTTTGCTTTTGTGGTCTTCTGTTTGCCCTGCTCTATTTGGGAGAGTCAGTAATTCCAAACCCATTACGTTTTAAGCTAGTGTAATCTAACTATAGTTTACTTCTTAGATGTTTTTAAACACTTGGGAGATACAAATCCGAATTTCATCCTCTAAAATCTCACCTCTTCTCTACTGGATTCCCATCTGCTCCTATAAACATTGACACTCCCTGCTTTTAGAAAAGCTCTTCATCTTCCTTTTAAAATTCCACTCTTTTTGTTCTCTATAACTGTCTGCTCCCTGCCAAATTCTCAAATGGGCCCATTTGTGTTGCTACAACAGAATACCTAAGAGTGGGTAATTTACTGTTTTAAGCTTTTAAAAAATGGTTCTGGATGACAAGGAGTTGAGGATATGGTGCTAGTGCCTACCGGAGCCTCAGCACTGCATGCTACCGTGACAGGACAGGTGAACATATGAGGAGACAGAGAAAAGAAACAGGGCTACATTCTTCTTAATCAAAAACCAGGAACTAATTTCTTCCATAACTAACTCCCTCCCATAAAAATAGCCCTTAGAGTCTCTGTAAGTTCCTATCTCGTTTTTTTCCAATAATTAATTTTTATTTTATGTGCATTGGTGTTTTGCCTGGATGCATATCTGTGTGAGAGTGTCGGATCTTAGAATTACAAATGGTTGTAAGCTGCCATGTGGGTGCTGGGAATTGAACCCCAGTCCTCTAGAAGACCAGTCAATGCTCTTAACCACTGAGCTATCTCTCTAATCTTGCCCCTAGCCCTTAATACAGAGCCAGTGACAATTACATTTTAACTTGAGTTTTAGAAGAGACATTCAACCACTACCTTCCCCATCACCCACTCATTTCCTAACACCTAAGTTTGAATTGATTCCTCTACCAAACTTTAATTTTGAAAGCCAGAAGGCAGAAATTATTGCAAAGTGCGAAGCTGCAGTGTAAACTTTACCAGCTTTATTTGTTG